TTTTTCAGATTTTTTAATTACTTGATGTCCTCAGAAAAAATAGAGATCGAAAATGGACGTTTATACCGGAAGTGGGGGGTAGGAGGGGGGAGGGGGTCTAAAATTTTGTTTTTGGGACCTTTTTACTATGTACTATAACATACCAAAAGCGCGTCAAGATCAGTGACATACGAGCGCAGGTTTATTTAAAAAATTCTGAGCCTTACCCATATGTATTTGGATAATTCGAAAATATTATTAAATTTTTGTTAAATAAAGTATTTCAAACTGTTATAAATTAGACAATTTGATATGTCATTGATTAATATTGCGGTTCTTCTTTATTCCTAAGTCTTCAGAATCGCATTTAAATCTTTCTGATTTTATAGTACGAAATCTATGAATAAATAAACATATAACCATATTTCGCTCAGCTTTAGCAACAAATGTTGCCACTAGTAATTTTAATTATCAGTCGGTCTCCCGTCCACGAAGGCTGCATCTAATGCACACGTGTGTTGTACGCGCGCCTGTATCTATATATACGTTCTCTGATTTCATTTTGCGAATCAATCACAGCTGTATACACACGCGAGCGAGCGGCGCATCAAGGCAGCAGCAACCCTCGATACTGCAGTGTTGTACGGTACGGCACGCCGTGCAGGAGCAGCGGCAGCAGCGGCATCAGCAGCTAACATCCCTGTTTATACGCGTCAGCTCGCGCATAATGTATATAAAAGCCGAGAGAGCCGAGGACGAGTATAGAAAGGCGCAAAAAAAAGGAAAAAGAAAAAAAAGGAAGTAGATGAAATAAAACGTACAGAGACCGGAGCAGCAGTCGGCTACCACGCGAGAAGTCGTATCTTTTGATAAAGATACAAAAAGGTCGCGCGCGTAGCGCAGAAAACGTAAGACCTCTCTTAGCTGCGGCTCCTATATATATCTAGCATAGTAATAGCAATTATAACTTTTCGCTCCCGAGGTTCCTCCCTCTATATATATCGTTAGAAGGCCTCGTCCTCCTCGCATGCCAGCTTTCTCTCTCCTTTTGCTCGCGCACTAGCTCCGCGTATAATATATATTCTACGGGCATAGGGCATCCCTCGTGCGCGTCGTCCTCTTGCTTCTGCTTCTGCTGCTGCTTTAACAGCTCTCGGCAGCGTGAAGGCGGAGGAGCTGCTGCTACTGCTGCTGTGTAGCTCACTCCCGTGGGTACCGTAAACTAATGGCATCCCCGTATGTGCACAGCGAGTGTCTGTATACGCGCGTGTGTATCCCAGTACTGCAACACGAGAGCCTGTATATGTATAGCAAGGACTGCTGCCAGCCTGTGTTGCGTTATCTATAGCACTTTCGCTCTTTTGGCGTATATAACAACAACAACGGCACACACACGTATACGTACATACACGACTCACAC